TAAAATATATTGAAAAAAGGCATTGAGGGTAGCAGGAAAATACTTTTATGAGTATCATGTCGTAAGGGATATTGGCTTACAAGGGGGAATCCCAAATAGATGAAAATATTATAGCCAATAAAAATATCCAGTCATAAACAATTATTATTTACTTCTATAAGAGTATCAATTTATTTTATTAGCTAATTTCAGTTACAACATTTATCAAATTAAAAACCCATAAATAATATTTAGGGGCAATTGGGAAAGAAACAATTTTTGTCTCGCCGCTTTTATCTGACAGTAAAAAATCCACCTTTAGACTGCACAATTTTTCAAGATAGACCTAAACTTTTTTATTTTGCAAATTTATTGTGTTATTTAGCTTAAAGTTTGTGGCGCGTAGAATCCCTGATGTCTTCGAAGGTAGTAAAGCCTTTCTTAAATCTGAATAGCGAATAATGTTCCAGTTTTTTCGGGTTGAACCCAAGCAAACTTTTAAAAATGGCTTATTTGGACCTTTTTCTAAGACTAGGGTCAGACTAGATTTAGATAATGAACACGTTTTAGTTAAGAGTTTTTTGCTTTTATTATTCTTAAATTTAAAGTGTATATGGGTGATTCTACAAAAGTTGGGCAACTTTTGGCCTCATTTTGTTTATTTATTCGTCCTGAAAAACTTTTATAAAACGAAGTTTTTCAGGACGAATCATTGTTGGAATAGCAGATGAGTCCTGAAAAACTTCATTTAGGTACTTGTGACAAACACTATTTTTTGTCATACGCTTTTTTTCAGAACGCTTAAATTTGCAAATTTTCCATAATTTTTAAATATAATGTTCGGGAAAGTTGGCTTAGAAATAATTGATATCGTAGCAACAAGTTTGTTAATTTGATAATTTTGTAATGTCATTCGAAGTTTGTTAGAAAGTCACAAAAATTTTAAAATATTTCAAAATCCCGAATCGTGCCATTTACCATAAAGAATATGAATGGAAACACGAAAATTGCGTACTCTTTGTAAATGCATGTATTGCTAAATTATTTACACGAAAAAGTAAGTAAACATTTAAAAACCTAAATGCTTAGTTATGCAAGATGTATTTTGAGGTTTTTAAATTAAAATACTCTATTAAATTACAGTCACAAACGTTCAAACGGTCGCGACGCGTCGACAGTTTGGTCAAAATATTCCATGCTGAAAGCAGTGTTAAGTGTTAATGGAAATATTCATATCGACAAATTTGCAATAGTTATTGCTGAATTTAGACATTCTAAGAAATTTTGGAATAGTCCGTTTACTTTACTGTCATGGCAATAAAGTCAAACTTTCACATTTTGAGAAATGTCACAAAAGTTTTATTTTAATGACGTTTGAAAAAAATATGTATTTTGTTATTTTTCAGTATTTTGATTAAAATTTCTTAAAAAATATGATTTTTTAGGTTATTTTTTAGTATTTCAAGAAAAAATTGTGGTTTAAAACCCTCCTGCGGGCCTGCTTGCCCTTGCCATGCTTTTTGATTAATTTCAGGACGTTACGGCACGGCACTAAATTAGAAAAGGTACCGTAAAAAATGACATTTTATAAAAATATAAATAACTTGACAATCAAGTTTAAATGATTTTTTCTACTTCCACCTTTAAAACGCCCATGTTTCCATGACACTAAGTGACCTTTTGACATTGACAAGTTGTGGCTTTATGGCGCTTTAGTCACGGGCTGAAGTTAGCAACAGGTTTTTAGTCACGGGCTGAAGTTAGTATTAAATAGTTGACAGTTATCAAATGTCATACAATCGTTAAAATAAAGTGCCTTTCTTGTAAAATAATACTAAATGTGAAAATTATTTTATTAACTCAATACAAAAATACAAAGGTATTAAATAGTTTCTTAACGCCAATATTTGAAAAGTTTATATGAACATTGTACTGACCTTTTAATTTCGCCTTCTTATGACATAAATAACTATTATTGTCTAAATAACCAATATCTCTACACAATAATATTATCTACAAACATAACTACCATTATGGAAAATAAAATGTTTATAAAGGTTTAAAAACGAATTTTTTTTTATATCTGTCATTTTAATATACTTTATCTACTCCTACATTGACGAGCTGTGACTTTATGGCGTTTTATTGACAAGCTGAAGTTAACAACAGTGGCTTTTCGACATTTTACGTCACGGGCTGAAGTTAGCTTTATTATAAATTGGGAAAAAGTGAGGTTAAATTCGGGTGACAGTTGACAGATGTCAAAATTTTAACAAATAAAATTGGCTTTAAATTCTGTTTTGTGTTCGTCGTAGATAAAGTATAGTATGCAACTCGTTTATAAACTTCTCTAGACACTCGTTTTTATTAAACACTCGCTCGCAAGCTTCGCTCGTGCTTAATTAAACTCGTAACTAAAATGGCGTTTATAAAACTTGATACATAATATACTATTTTCTAACTTAATAACGCTTATATCTGATTTTGATATGCTGATGTAAAATTGCAATTCTTTTATTTTACTTTTACTTAGACTCGATTATAATGCAGCTTTCAGCTAATTTCTTTTCATTAAATTTAATTAGAATATTTGAAATGGGAGTCGTAAATAGTTTTTACTTTCGGTGGCTCTAATTAAATATTCCAACGTTTAACGGCAAGCTTGCAAAAATAAACAAGACTGGTTTTTCCATTGAAATACCTATATATTTAAATTGGATTTACCGGAACGTGTATGGACTTTTGCGTACATATATGTATTATATTTAACAAAAACTTTTATTTCGTCAAATTTTCAGTTCACTTCATATGCAAATACTTAGTTTCGGCTTTAGGATTTTTCAAACAGCCAACAAATTACTGTGTTTGAAATGCGGTTATTACAGATCTCGCACAACCTCAAAATCCCTCCTTTCAAAACGAACATTTTTATTACGCATTCAGTTAAACTCGCGCTTTGAAATACATTGACAGTATCTAAATTACGGCTTGTACCGTATTTATTCGAATTGAATAGTTTACTCACGTCGGCTTATCCACAATAGAATATATTTTCTGGCTACCTCTAAAAATAACAAAATTTCTATAAAGATGAAATAATAAATTTAACTAAAATAATAATATTTTGAACAGCAGTGTTTACTTTTATACAGTGTGTATATAATATTCACACTGTATTATATGGTACCAAAGGCACTGTGTATATTAGGGTCGGTCGAAATCCAATAACTTAGAGGATTTTGACTGACCTTTATATACTCACTGTACGACCTTGAAATTGACGCGTTTCTCGGAAAAACATCATTAGTCCAAAATTAACATATTTGGTAAAATGAAAAAAACTCTCCGACATTCCCATTTTTGACCAAAGTACTTTATTGACCTATTTACTACATGTAAAAAAATGTAAGATACTTTGTCCAGAATTCCTCTTGTTTTTTCAAACGAATATGAAAAAAACACAAAAAATACATGAACATGTGAGGTTTTTAGAAGAAAAAAACGAACAATTCTCCTTACTACAAACACTACAAACTAAATATTAACTCTGAGCAACAAAATAAATGAAAAAACTAAAAACTGTATTATGGCCACACTCAGTATTCGCATCCACTGCTGTTATCATCGTTGTCGACCGTGTTATCAGGACTGTCAGGTTCTATGGTCTTCTGGTCTTTTATCAAGTTATCATAAAATTTTCTATTGCTGTGGTCATGTAAAAGAGGTAGAAGCTTTTCTAGAGTGTCCAAAAACTTCACATGTTATGCACATGTGACTTTCTTAGACGAAACGGAGTGGACTTGTGATGTTTTTAGAAGAACAAGCTAAATTTCATATTTAATTATTATGGAACCTATGACATTTTTACGAGAAACACTTATTTGTATACGTATATATGGAGGTTAGGAAACAGTTGGTGCTAATATCTAAATTTCGACGATATTGGACTAATGATGTTTTTCCGAGAAACGCCTCAATTACAAGAAAAAAATAAAAAATTAACTAAATAATAAAATGGCCATGCCTATTATTTATACTTATAAAAAAAATCGTATTCCACAATTTTAAAGAGATTGTGGGGACTGAGGAGATTTTAGCAGTTTTTCACAATGAAAGTAAAGAGAATTTTTTTTCGGCACTACACGGTGGAGTCTCCATTTTTTATCCAATTTTTTAATGCTTTCATTTAATTCTAGTTTACTGCCGGCAAAATCAAAAGGATAGTACAAATGTGCATATAAACGTTTTCAAATAGGTATTGGCGTTGAGAAACTATTCAATAATTTTTATTTTTGTATTAAGGTAATAATAAAATAAGATAATAAAATAATTTCCACATTATTATTTCAAGAAGGGCACTTTATTTTAACGATTGTATGACATTTAACAACTGTCAACTAACTTAAAACTAACTAACAGCCCATGACTAAAAACTTCAGCCCGTGATTAAACCGCCATAAAACAAGAACTTGTCAATGTGTATTTAAAAGATCACTTAGTGTCATGGAAACATGTACGATAATGGGAGTAGACTATGAATCAAATTTTCATGTAATACATATAAACTTCAACTAATAATTTCTTTCTCAAAGAGGATAGAGAATATTTTAAAAAAAATTAAAAGATTTTTAAAGGATTTTTAAAGATGACGTAATGAGATTTGTTAAGAAAAAATAACTTGTGATGAAGGTATTATAACCTTATATATTGTGAAGAATGAACCAATTTTCTAAACCTTCAGAAAAATATCATCATAAATACTGAAAAAGAATGAAATGTATGATATAAATCCACAGAAAAATACGAGGGTGGTTCAAATAATATTTGAACCACCCTCGTATTTTTCTGTGGATTTATATCATACATTTCATTTATATTATAAACCGGAATTTTGCTATACAAATTTTAATTATTTAGTTACAGAGCTGAAATTTGTTACAATTTTTTAGATAGTCTCCGTCACACTCTACACACTTTTACCCTCTCTTCGGAAGCCTTGTTTGTAAAAATCTCTCGGCTTGTCACGTAACCATTCGCACACGAAGCATTGCTTTCGAATCGCATGCGGACTGCAGTCCGCCAAGTGCCTCTTTCAATGGACCAAATAAATAATAGTCTCTTGGCGACAAATCGGGACTATAAGGAGGGTCTTCCAGTGTTTCCCAACCCAATTCGTTCAATGTTTCACTACGGATAGGAATATCGCGTCGTTTTGATCTGTAGGCAGGTTTCACCGTGTTTTTTAGGAGGTTACTACCTACGCTGATGCCCAATTCTTCAGCCATATCGCGTACAGTACTCCGTCGATCTTCCAAAATGAGATTTTCTACAGTGCTGACGTTGTCATCGGTAACACTTGTTCTGGGGCGCCGCCGCGCATGTGGCAAGTTTGCCACCACTTCTCGGCCTTTTCGGAAAGCGGAACACCATTCATACACTTGAGTCTTGGAGAGGCACTCATCCCGAACTGCTCGAGTAGTTTTCGATAAATTTCCGCAGATTTTACATTATCTTTGACCAAAAAACGAATAATGATGCATTGCGCAACAGACACTGGTACATCTTTCTCGCTTATGGCTATAACTACACTGAAAAGCGAGGTTACGGCTCTACGATTCGTAACAGACCAGTCTAACATCCAGTGCAGCCACTTTTACAACACTAAATTTTCCGCGCGTTTATTCAAAAATTCCGGTTTATATTTGAACCACCCTCGTACATAAAAACTGAACAGCATAAAAACGTATCTTTAAAAAGCTTACATACATTTAAAAGTCCTGGAAAAATCATGAAGAAATGTGTATATCAAATTAATTTATAGAAACCTGTTTGAAACTAAATAAGGTCTTTTTGGCTGGGCTTAAACCCTTGTTAAGTGTTAGGTTAATAAAACGTTAATTTGATCTAAGCTCGGGATCTTTTGTTGTAATTAATATGAGTAATTGCTTTCCCCTTTCTTGTCTCATGGTTACACTTGCTACAGCTGCTGAATAGTTGCCTTACACTTTTAACAAGTAAACCCATGTTAATTTACTCAAGACTAAATTGAAGAATAATTTGAGAAAGGCAAATCCCATTATTGTATAATCAAATTGTTATTCAAAGAGACCCAAGGTAACTTTGATTAACGTCATATCACAACCAAGCCTTTAACATTAATCTAAAAAAAAAATTAAATAATATTTTGAAGTTGTTTTACTATTAAACCTAATATTTAATTTCACATAAAATTTGCTTGGCTTTTATAACGTCAAAAACATTTACAGTGGCCTCTGAAATATTAAATAAACGAAACAAGATACATGCTATATGCAATTCCATCATTGTAATATCATAGAACTCGGGATAAACTTTAATGCTATTACAATTTAAGTTAAATGACACTTTTACGTCGCATTATTACTTTCCAAGTGCCCCAGTTTGTAACAATACATTTATCTTGTATATTTCATTTGTGTGTCAGATAGGCGTTAAATTCAATTAAAAAAAATCAATCTAAAACTGCTTGATTTTTTTATTTCTTATAAATAATAAAAAAATTCTCTTATAAAGGGGTTAATAATTATAATTATAATGACCGAACTATGACACCTCACACTAACTATTTGCTGTCATTTAAACTTTAAACATAGCTTTTAAAAAACAATGACACTGTTGTGTTCAAAAATATATGAAACATTCTTCCGTAAGTCACTGCTAAAATAGTTGTCAAAAAATATTAAACATGATTTTTTAAATAAAAATTTCCGCCAGTCCACAAAAATTGCATTTTTCATTTAAATTGAATTTTTGAGGATCTTCCGTGGTGACAATAATTATTTAGGACAAAATTTCTTCGTAATAATTTCTCATTGCAATAATTTCTCAATGCAATAATTTCTTACTATAATAATTTCTTACGCATTAATTTCCCTCTTCAATTGGACGCCTTTCTGCTGAAAGGAACCAACCCACAAAACCAAAAAATCGAGATATTTAGCCTATGAACTAATTAAGTATGTATAATTTATCTGCAAAATAGGTCATAGCCAAAATGCAAGTGTAGTAAAATCTATTAATTATTGAACCAACCAACATTTAATAATAGTGTGGATTACTAATCCAGAATTAGAATCTGTAGAATATCTGCAAGTGGGTTGGATCTTTTTTTATAAAAAAGCAGGCTGGTAGACCCACTACCAAAGTCTTTAAAGATTTCCAGCTTCTGCAAAATATAAAGTCTTGATGCATTTTTTTGGTAGCTTACAAGATGAGGTGGGATTGGAAGATGATGTGGACGAATTTCAAATAGAATCAAAATTAATTCATATTACCATTATAATGGTAATATCAGTTGTATTTTGTTTGGAAATAAATAATTGTCGCTTTTCTTTAAATACATACATCAGATAGTAGTTTTCATAAATTGCAGAAAGGAACCAACCAACAAAAGCCCATTTTTTTCGTCACCCTTACACATAACATCACAAAATCCCCCTGATGAAATTATTAAATTATATCCCTTAAACCTCCGTAAGTCCATAATCGGCATAAAATTAACAGGTAATTTTAAAATTATTAAAATCTTTGATGGCTTTTTTCTCAGTTTTATCATGGTGTGGGTTGCATTCTGCAGGAATCCGTCCAATTATTTTTCATGGCAAAAATTTCTCATATTAAAAATAACTGAATAACAAAAATTTCTCAAAACAACAAATTCCCAAAGCAAACATTTCTCACGCAACAATGTCTTAGATACAAAAAAGCAAAATATTCTCAAAGCAAAAATAACAAAAGAAATTATTTTTAAGAACAAGACCATGTTCCGTTACTTATAATAAAGAATGAATATTTTCATTGAGAAGCTAAGAATTTTTTACAGAAAAAACCATTAGTGTTTGTATTTTTATAAAAAATTATTTACAGCCAAAATTAACGAAAAAGTTAAAAAAAAAGATATTGTCAAATTTCGAAAAATCATTACTAGAAAAGTACCTACATACTTCCTATTAAAAGCTCAAATCTTCAGTAAGAATAACTCAACACAATTAAAAAAAAATTCTTGGTTGAAGTAGTTAAATAAAAAGTTTTAAATACAATATTTACGAATTTAAATGTTTGCGAAAAAACGGTTTCCTCACGATATCGTAAAAATAGGACCTGCCTGAGCAAAATGGTAATTTTTGACATCAGCTAACGCAAATTACCCCAAAAAATTTGTTGGCCACCCTGCAACAAACATTTTTTTAATATTTGCCAGCCTGTGTAATAATTGATAATTTTATATAGGCGCCCATGGCATCATTGATAATTATTGATAATTATTATTATTTAAATCACAAGTTTACAGCACAAACAGGTGTATTTTTTTTACTGAGATCTCAACTCACTTTAGTTAAAGTGAGCCGAGATATAGTGATGTGAAAAAGAACGACACATTTGCAGTTCACAAGCAGCGTGGTTTGTTATATGACAACACAGAAGATAAGTGTGGCAACGTGAATAATAGGTTTGTTCTGTGAAGGCAACGTTACCTAAACTTGTCAAATAAACAAAAATATTGTTAACTTAAATCATAAAACAACTTTGAATTTGCCTAAAGGTTGAATTAATTAAGTGAGTAAAGCAAAAGTAACGCGCACATTTGCAAAATTAAGCGATGTGAGCTGAGATTAACTGGAATATCAGTCAAAAAGAACGCACCTAATATTACTACTCTTGATATCCTATTCATCACCAAATTTTTCAAAGGCGCTTATTTTTTATAGTAAATTTATTTCAGAATACTAAAGGTGTAATGCATCTTATCATGACCCCCAGGGCGCGATCTCTTCTTTCAAGGTTGGCAACATCATTTTTAAATAATAAAACTAAATTACTCGACACCTCTGCAAACCGTCTTTGTATAATAAAGGTAATTATTGTATCAATTTTCAAGTACCCTTGTACACCTTACACGAACACAATACCTCTAAATTGCATGAGCTTTAGAACTTGCTTTTGCAAAAAAAAGAAAGATGAAACACGTTTTAATGATGAATGATGAGACGTAGCTAAAAAGGTAACAACATTGTTGCAAGTAAATTAAAAAATACCAAATTTTTAAATACCAGGAGAAAAATAATTAACATATGAATCACTAAAGGTAATTGTCTTCTAATAAAAATGAGCACAATGTAAAGGTGATAGTCACATTTAAATCCTAAAGCTAAAGTTTTCATTTCTTCTATTTTTTGAACAGGAAAGATCATGGGAATGAATAGACATACATTCATTTAAACTTTGTAAAGCGTATAAATTTATAAATAATTGTATTGTTTTTCTTGTGACAAGGATTTAAAATGGAAAAATGTAAGGGGCTTTGTACAAACTATTTTTCCGAATTACTTACTACCTTTTTAAAAAATAACAAAATTGCTGCTATTTAAAATAAGTGGACATAAAATAAGCAATATTTTATAATGTAATAGAAATATACTCCTACGTGAATTAATTTAAGACCTTCTGGGTAGAATGGCATACAACATTTTATCTTTAAGTTGTAATGTTTTTCAGAATTTAAATTTGTTAAACGATACAGAAAACGGGGTTAAGGGTAAAAACTATTTAAGAATTTTATAAAACGATTTTTCCAACACAATTTAGCTAAATATGTAATGGCGTTGAGAAATTAATTAACAAACAACTTTTTCCAAACTAAAATTTATTTCTTTTGTTGTGCGCTTTCGTATCAATAACAGTTAAACTGCGAAAGGCAAGGAGTATTAAAACTACAACGAAAGCTATTTAAAATTGTTGAGAAATAAGTTTTCTGTCAATAGCAGAGCATTTAGTATAAGGGTTTAACGATGGAGAAATAGAAAGTAATAATACTAAATCAATTTGAAACCACTGTACCCGACTGGGTAAAATGGCGCGCCAAAGCTTATTTTTTGTTTAAGCTTCAATTCTCACCACAATAAAAAATGCTCGTTTATTTTTGAAGTAAGTTTATTTCTGCAATCTATTATACATTTCTACTGGAATGGAATCGGGCTGCGAATCATGATTTTGATAAGGTTAACAAGTTTTCTTAAAGTCGGCGCTAAATTTGGTTTTGCATAAACATAATATTAAATATAATCATAATGAGGAGAGTTTTTACAGGTTGCAATTTATTTATAAAAAAAAATAGTTGTAAACGCAAGCATAACAAACGAAAAAGCAACAGCGCATGCTCTAAATTTTAGAAAAAGTGAAATAGTTAGAGTGTATAAATATATTTATAGTTATAGTAAGGGTTAATTTTTAGGACAATATACTAAGAAAATAGTTTCGTTTTCTATAATTTATAGGAATTTAGTACAGGCAACCAAAAAAAGTGCAGTACAAATATACTTTCACCCCAGTTTTCTAAGGTGTTACGTAAAAACAACATATTTACGCCCAGAATAAATATCCTTCTTACATTGGTGATTTTCAACCATAAAATTTTATATAATAAGAGGAGGTTGGGTGATAACTCATTTTAAAGGTATTTTGACCCTCAATATATCCACCAAGTTTGAAATCCATCACCCACACTTAGGGATTGATGTTAAGGGCTTAATATAAGGATAATATGTTTCCGCAAAATTAAAGGGCACTGGAAATATTTAAAATTTAAAAATTTATAATATTCTGAAGCATACATTTTGAATCAAAATAACGAAAATTTAGTATTAAAAAAAACTCGAAATTTTTTTAATATTATTTACATTAATATTAATAAGATTAATATTAAGCTTTAATTTACGTACAATTCTTACCGCACTTAAGAATATTTGTAATTATGATAATATTGCAGTAAATTTACTGAGGGAGTACAAATTTAACCTTATTTAATTTACAAATTGGGATTTTAATTACTAAATTTTTTACCCTTACACTACCCACTTATAACACATAACATGGATTTTATCAGTGCATTCTTCTACCTACCTACTTATATTTTTATGTCTCATTGCCATATTTACTTATGGAAGGTTTTACATTTTATTGAATCCTAAAAAATAAACTTTTCTATG